AAATCATGTTAAAACTGTCGTTTCAGTGAATGTAGAGCAATTTTCAAACCAAAGAGTGTTGGACAGCCAACTGTTTTGTTCTAGTTGGATAGTCTACAGTGCTGAACATAAAAACCAGTACTATCAAGCTTCTAGATAAGCGTGTAGACCACGCGGTCACTGGAGTGGAATTCACTGACACAGTGATCATTGAAACCGATCAGTATAATCAAACGAGAGAGATATCACATCAGTACCCTAACTAGGACTATTGAATTTATTGTATTCAAGAATAACGCTATTAAATCATCCAACTCAAAGAATACGACGACATGAAGAAATTTCTTCATTTATTTATTTCCTTTGAGTTGATGACTTCACACCTAATCTGCTATCTTAACCAGACTTCTTGCCAGCTAAACAAGATTTAGGAGTGCATTGGCAGTAAATCAAAATCCTCAGCCACATGTGAAGTTCGTGAGCATCCTAAGACTAAACCATTCACTGATGCATTAAATCTATTCATAGGATGAAATCCTTTAACCATTCAAATCAAATCCTTGCAAACCACTACTTGAATGTCAATCTGATGGTGACTAGAAACTGGCCCTATTCAGGTAGGTAGGTGGCTATCTGTGTTCTGATGAGAAGTCGTGACTAGCAGTAGGGTACAGCAGGTTAGGTGTGAGGACACATACTGGCAGCCGATGGAACTGGCGGGAGGTGGAATTTATGGACTTGCCCATTGTATCGGGTCTCATATGACTTATTAATCTATGAGTTCGCCTCACAACCGGAAGCTCGTGGGTTCGGACCCCGGTGGTGGGTGCGTACTGATGACAGTCAGTCCTAAACTAGGCTAACGAAACAGCTGTCTAGTACTCCGTGGTTGTTTTCCAATGGTTCTCTAACCGATGTCAGATCATGATGAAATCCTGTGAGCAAATCGGGAAATATCCACTCAAAACTATCAGTGTTCTTCACTAGGATTTTAATGATCTTTCTAAAGGAATAGTGTTCCATACAAAAGGTCTAACATCCGCTAGGGAATGATTATTTCTATGGTTATTATTCATTTATTGTATTAAAGTGATCGATGACAATTGGCTTATTGATCATACTCGTGGATAGCGTGAGATTTAAGTGATCACTGCCTACTCAAATAGTTTCAGTGTAGAATATCTAACAGATTGCAGATCATCGGTGATAGGGAAATTCTAAAGTATGGAGTGAAGTGCAACAAACATGTTCCAGCTTTATTCAGGATCTAGCTATATAACAGTAATGTCACATACTAGGTGACATAAAGGAAAGGAAAGCACATTAGAGTGTGAAGACGAGGGTAAGATGAGACTACCCACTATCATCCCCTGCAATCTTATTGTTTGTCATAGACTGGAACATTTGGCACACTGCGAGGAATGCGAATACGAGTATAAACGCATGTTATCCATGAATGTATCATCACTATTCACGAATGTACCGCTTATGGAGACAACAGATTGCATTTGTCAAGAAATCACCGAAAGACAATTGGAATTATGAATCCCCTCAAAGAATTACTTCTCAAATGCACAATGAATGTGCACTTCGTCTTCAATAATTCATATTACCGACAAGTAGATGCAATAGCTATGGGTGGTTCACCATTAGGCCCAATGTTATCTGACTTCTTTTTGGCAAAACTTGAAAACGGGAAACTGAAAGACATCATCAAGCAGTTGGATATTCATTACCGTTATGCCGATAACACATTTATCCTATTTGATGGGAATGCAAACACAGACGAATTGTTGATGAAATTCAACAACATCCACCCTTCGCTTACTTTTACTTGTGAAGAGGAGCAGGATAGTAAACTTCATTTTCTGGATGTCTTACTAAGTAAGAGAGAAGATGGGTCACTTGAGAGAAGCGTGTATAGAAAAAGCACATCCACGGGGCAATACACACACTTCATTAGTTACATGCCCATTAAATATGAAAGAAATGTTGTTAAAGGTCTTACGAGCAGAGCAAGAAAGATGTGTACGGATGACCTCATACAAAAGGAATTTGATTATATTCACGATTCCTTGATGGAGATGGGCTATCCGAGTAGTTTCATAAAGAAACATATGAAAACATCAGAGTGAAAACCTGAGACGCTGACTGCACGTAAGAAACCTCTATTTATTAAGTTACAATTTAATGGTGACTTATCAAGTGAGACTCTATTCCAGAGACTTTCCAGGAGTATACGAAGAACGTTTTACGCAGCAAGCCTATGTTTGTCATTCTCTAGCCGACGAATGACTGGGACGCAAACGAAGGCTAAGCTAGATAGTTTTGCCACATCTATGTGGATTTATCAGTTCAACTGCACCTGAGGTGACAATTATGTTGGGCGTACTACTAGATAGCTTAGCCAACGTGTTAGTGAACATCTCCCATCGTGGTTTGGCGAAGGGCAGACAAAAACAATCCGTGGCTCAATTTTGTCACATTTAATTGATAGTGGTCATGTGGTGGAGAAAACGAGAGCTTTCAAGTTGATTCGTCGTATTCCACCGAATCTTTCCAATAGACTCCGTATTCGTCTACTGCACATAGCTGAGGCAGTCGCTAGGTATTCGGACTATTAAACCTAAACTGTGCATTCAAAAGAAGTTCGTACAGCCATTATCCTTCCCTTATTGGCCTATTAAGACATAAACGACTAATGACTTATACGTTGTACTGACAAAAGACCCTAGAAGATTTGGATTTCACAGCTGAAATTAAATTTTGTGTCAAACAAAGTCGAAGATTTACAAACAAGAACCACCAAGTTGACAGAAGAGACAGCGAATACAGAACTTCAAGTGACCTTAGAGGAGATTGAGGTGATAAGATGTCGACAACTGCCAACAATAAATATAGAACATTATGAATAGGAGAAATCTAAGGGGAGTAACCTCTATTGCCACCGACAATTATACATCTCATCCAACAGCTGTACGACAATGCTGCATGCCAAGTAATCCATAACGGGAAACTTACGGTATCCTTCGAAGTGAGGACAGGAGTAAGACAAGGCTGGCTGCCTACTATCGCCAATGATTTTCCTGATTACAGTAGATTGGATAATGCGACAAACAGCAGGAAATGAGGAAACAGGAATAAAATGGACTCACACAAAAACTTGGAGGATCTGGACTTCGCCGATGATATATGTCTGATTTCCCACAGACTGGAAGATATGCAAGTGAAAAGCAACAAGTTGGCAGAAGAAGCATCGAAGATAGGACTTCAGGTGAACATAAAGGAAGAGGTAATCAAGATTCCTGGACAAGAACAACAACAACTGACAACAATCAGCATAAATGGGAGGAACCTGAAAGAAACAACCTCCTTTACCTACCGACATAGGAAGCATCGTTTCGACTACAGACGGACGGAACTGACGAGGATATCAAAGCAAGGATCGGAAAAGCAAGACAAGCCTTCACTACTCTCAAGTCTGTGTGGAGGTCAACAACACTCAGCATCAAAAATAAGATCCGGATTTTCAACTCCAATGTGAAGTCAGTGCTACTATACGGATCAGAGACTTGCACTACGCGTCATAAAGAGCATCTCAAACAAACTACAGACCTTCATCAACAGCTGTCTTTGCTCAGTACTTCGCTGAAGATCACATGGCCAGAAAAGATCAACAATCGAGATCTCTGGGAGCGAACCAACCAGGAACAGATTTTGAAACGAATATGTTGAAAGAAATGGAGATGGATTGGCCATACTCTGAGGAAACCATCAAGTGGCATCACTAGACAAGCCATTGCTCGAGTGGAACCCGACCGTTTTGGAAGCGGCGAGTTGGTCGTCAGTGCAAGTGTGACCTGGAGGAGGTCATGTGAAGAGGAGATGAAAACGTGTGGGCAGACTTGGAGCCAGGTGAAGACTCTAGCAGAGAACCGAACTCAATGGAGACGCATGGCTGAAGCCCTATGTTCCTGTAGGAATTAAAGGATACAATAATAATAATAACCTCTATTAGTTACCTGACCTCTGCAGCATCGTTACAACTACTAATGGCACGGATGATGATGTCAGAGGCAAGAAGGAAGGCGAGATAAGCATTCATTGCTCTGAAATCTATTTTTTGAAATCTGCTGCATTCGGCATAAATAACAAGATTCTGGTTTTCAGCATTGATTTCAAGTCAATCAGTCCTTCTGCATATGGTTCACCCACTTGACACACGCCATGCGTCAACAAAAGCGTTACCAAAGGGCTACACTAGACTTTCATCAGCAGCTGCCTTCGCTTCATACTGAAGAAATTTAGCCAACAATGAACCAATCAAGACCTTATCGCCCAAGGAATATAAAGAAGGTAATGGTGACGGATTAGATAAATGTGCTGGAGAGACCTTAAAGTAACATCACAACCCAAACGAGAAGCAATGAGTTAGGTATGAGTCCCATGAGAAGGGCTCATGAAGAGGTGAAAAAAAGCTAAACGGTGGTTATGAAGCCAGCCAGTTGAAACCAATGTCAGAAGATTTATTTTATTTATTTTTATTACAGCTTGATTCCCCACCGTATTTTCAGTACAAGTATGGAATTTTCAGCATGGATATCGGTAGCCCAAATTTACAGGCCGACCATAGATATCGGGTGTGCGCCGGCAGGGGATCGAACCCAGGACCATGTGCATGGTCGGCGAGAGTCCTAACCACTGTGCCACCGACGAGTGCAATGGAAATGTGGTGTTGAAACCATTTGTTTTATCGTAGGGTAGAGGCCCCAATAATAGCTGTTAAGCAGTTAATGAATTATTACGAAGAGACACGAGGCTGTGTTTGCGTTTTCCATGAAAGTCGTAATTGTTTCAACATATTCCCCAAGGGAGCATCCTTCTCTCTGTTTGAGAGAGGAGAGATATTAACTAAATGCCAGGCATCTACATGTAATTAAGCCCCATCCTCCATTGCCTTATTCAAAGAATATCATAAAATCAGCATCAAAATAGAAAAGACAAAAGCAAGCGGAACCTACTTAACACTCTTTGAATTTCATATTTTGTATTCAAAATTAAATCTTCATATCGAACAGTGATACAACGTGATGAACCAATACGTCGACATTCATCCAATATAATTGTTGTTAAATTCTCCCAATAACCAAATGCTTTTTCTGGTTTGCTGGATACATAGAGTGGATTCACTTGACGTCTAATATTAGAATAAAAACAGAAGTATAAAAGCTGCAGACGGATTTTAAAACAGATGAATTTAAATTTAGATTACATCACATACTGATAAATGAAGTAGAGAACCATTGGAAACTAAAGGGATGTGTGTGCTGGACAGCTAGTTGTCTTGTCGCCGATTTGAGATTCTCCAGCAGTGAGCACTCATCAGCTTATCATTGGGAATCGAACACAAAACCTTCAAGTTACGAGTTCAACCCATTGACCACTCAGACATCGGGAGATAGAATCCAATAACCCACAAATTCTAAATTCAGTTATTTCAGCTTTCAATGTCTCTTTAAGTGTTCAGCAAACAGCCCCCTACAACCCAAAACCTGTTAGCTAATTTACTGTTCATTAGTGGTTGAGTATGACGGAATAGAATTCTTGAAGTTCTGTTAGGGATTCGTGATTGGCCGGGTTGATTATGTGCAGTGTGAGAACAGATACTTGACGATGATGGTGGCGCCATGTCGCAAATTAACAGAAAATAGGATTCACGAGTCACTGGATTCCATTTCAGTTGATGAATAGTCACTGATTAGATCCCCAATGCAGTACTCAGTGTGCAGTGTAAAACAGACGTGATATCCGACTATCGACCGGAGGGCATGTGTACTACTCAGCACACTGCTCCGTCCTCCTTTATAACTGTGAGCTAGACATGGCCACTGAAAGTGGAAGACATGAAAGGACTAGCTAGCTGTCTTTGATCATACGTGTCTGCGTCCTATCTCCTGTGTGAAGTATCGGTTGAATGCTAGATAAGGAGGGAGGGAAAATCAATAGACGAGGCTGTGAAGTTACATCGACTGAGATGGTTGGGACAAGTGTTGCGCATGCATCCCTAGCCATCGCCTTCCTCGAGAACGGCCAATGTTAGCTGACATAGGGTCATGTTGGGAAAGAGCCAGTGGTGCTCATACCAAAACATGGCTTCATCAGTCAATGAAATCCACAACAGTTAGTTTAAGCCAGCCATGTAGGAAGGTGCAGACTTCCTGTTTGGGTTCCTCGGGACGGTAAAAACCAATGGCGGCTGCAGACAAGTGGTGATATGGGTCCAAATCGTTCTCAATGGCTGGCGGAGATGCATCTACTCCTTGTTACTTATAATACCCAATAACAAATATTTTTCTTCCATATTACTATTCTTTCTGCCTCATATATCTGTTTATTATCTCTGTTTTGAATCTGTTTTTACTTTCTTCTCTGGCTTTGTGTGGTACATGTGGGGAGTGTGGCAACTCGAACTACTGTACATCGGTGCAAAGTTTCACGTTGAAACCAGTCAGTCAGTCAGTCCGTGTTCAACAGTTCCAAAGTAAGACGAAACATGAGTCAAGCGCTCCCTAGTTTCCAGTGATTTTCTCTAGTCGATAAATCCGTCAGTGATGAAATCCACAGTGAAATTAGAATAAATCCATACAAAACCCAAAATTTGAAAGGATTAAATTTAAACGACAATACTAATTTTTAATTTTTAAATATGTATAACTGAAAAATAAAAATATCTTTGCATTTGGTTTCGTCTTTCTTAATATTCTGCGTGCATGAATTAAGCTGGAGCAATGTATTCCAAAGAAGCTCTTTTTTAAACGTTGCATCTGTCATGGATTTGTCTTTGCTTACACTCTTTTCTCTTGGTCTTCATTTAATCGTCTCCTTCTTTGTGATGTTTTGTATATCCAGCTATACAAAATTATAATTTTTGGTATGTTTCTATGCAAAAGAATACTTGCAGGCGAAAACCAACAAACTGGTTGAAGAGACAGCTAAGGTAAGACTCCAGGTGAACATAGAGAAGACGGAGTTGATGAAGGTAACCAACCAACCAAATATCAACAACAACCAGCACTAATCACCATAAACGAGAGAGATTTAACACAAGTTACTTTTTCTTTCACTTATCTGGCCTGGGGGCACGGTTTCGACTACAGACACACGACACGGATCAAGATATCAAAGCCAGCCAGCCAGTCAGAGGTTAGCTTCTTAGTCAAGATACGCCTTCATCCATGAGCCTGAAACCAGTCTGTAAATCTTCTGCACTCAGCATAAGGGACAAGATTCGGAATTTCAACACCAGTTTCAAGTCAATCTTTCTTTACGGGTGAGAAAATTGCACTGCATGTGTCAGGAAAAGGATTTCCAACAGGTGGCAAACTTTCATCAACATCTGCCTCCTTCGCTGGCTCCATACTGAAGATCAAATGGCTGACCAGAAAGAACAAGTAATAAGCAACTGTGCGAACAAACCAAGAGGCGAGAGCCAATTGCTCAACAAAGGCATATGTAGGAGGAAATGGAGATGGATTGATCGGGCATACTTTGAAGAGACCGTCAAATGACATCGCGCGCCGGGCCGTCTAGTGGAATCCCAGTGGGAAGCAACGGGTGGGTCGTCAGTGCGAGGGTGACATGGGGGAAATTGTGCGAGTTGGAGGAGGAGATGGGAGATTGTGGTCAGTCGTGGAGCTAGACATCTAGAGAGAACGGCAGAAAATGGAACAGTGTGGAGATGTGTTGCTGAAGCCAGGCCTATGTTCCACTCGGAAGCCAAGGGAACAATATCATGATCACACCTCTATTGGGTAAAAGCTATGGTGCACACTCATTTACATGGCTTCACACAGATTAAATACAAAAGAAACCTAGTTAAGTGCCTCAGTTATAGAATTAAACGCATATGTTCACAGGAATGCATAAAAGAAGAAATGTATAAACTGAAACTTACACTACAAGAAAATGGATATCCAGAGAACTTCCTAAAAACGTATATGTCAATATCTAGAGATAGGGTAACGATGGATACTGTCTATAAGAAACTGTGGTATCTTAAGTTAAGTTACAAAGGCGAAATTGCAACTGACATTCTAAAATGTCGACTTAATAGAGCAGTGGAGAGAAAGTTTCCTGCAGCTAAACTAGTACTCACTTTCTCAACTAAACCAGTACTTACACAGTGAGTCAAGGATAAATTACCAAAGATGGCCTCATCAATATGTATCAACTGCTCATTTGGAGCTAATTATATTAGCCGTACTCAGAGGGCTTTATCCATGCGCTCACATGAACATGTACCTGCATGGTTGGGTAAAGGGGTAACTAAATGTGTAAATAGTCCAGTCTTAGTCCACTTGGTAGATACTGGACACTAGATAAAACGTGAGCAGGTGTTCTCAGTCATTTACCGCATTATTCCTCGTAATCTATCTAGACGAGCTCGACTACTTCTTCTATCAGTAGCTGAAGTGGTAGCAAACAATACCAGAAGACCGGCTCTTTGTATACAGAAGGAATATGTTCAACCACTATATTTACCTTGGCTTACAATAAGGCCAACAAATCACTCATAAACATTAGCACTTTAAATCCCTACAGCAATGTTTCTTCTTCTTTTCCCTTAGTTTCATTGACAAACGTTCATTTTGTGACCTTCTACAACTTTAGGACCTTTCTTATAATTTCTATTACCTTAGGTTTAAGTAATGCTTTTATCACTTGTTATCATATTTACACACCTGTTCATTTCGTTTCATTAAATTCACTATTATTATTTGATAACCGTTTAAGTCTACACCACTATTGTTCCATCACATTTTACTTATACTTGTTCCACAATACACATTTCTGATATGATTCTAATTTGCCTTCAATGGCTGGCTGGCTATTGTGTGCTTAAATGAATGGATTTCTAATTTTGAGTCTGATGAAGGAAGAATTTATCGAAAACAAGAGAAAATCATTCTTTAGAGATAAACAGAAATTTAAATCAATTTAATTTAAATTTAAATCTCCTGAGTCGCATCATCCTGGAGAGAATAAAGAACGCACTGGATACAGAACTCTGACCAGAACAAGCTGGATTCATGTTCTGACCAAATTGCAACTCTACGCATCATCATCACAGAACAAAGCATGGAATGGAAATCAAACCTCTACCTCAACTTTATAGACTTTGAGAAGGCCTTCGACAGCGTTGACCGCGAAGTAATTTGGAAACTACTCAAGTACTACGGCGTACCCCAAATATTCATCAACCTAATTCAACAGCTGTACGACAACGGCACATGTCAAGTGATCCACAACGGAAAACTCAGTGAGGTGTTTGGAGTAAACATAGAAGTCAGACAAGGGTGCTTATTATCACCAATGATATTCCTAATTGTGATGGACTGGATTATGCGTCGTCAGACAGTGGGAAACGAGAAGACAGGGATATCCTGGACCGACGTGAAGAACCTAGAAGACCTGGATTTCGCCAGTGGATGATTTATGTTTGATGTCACACAAAATCGAAGACTTACGAGCGAAAACCGACAAACTGGTCGAAGAAGCAGCAAAGACAGGACTCCAGGTGAACATAGACAAGACGGAGGTTATGAAAATAACCAACCAACAACAACAACAACAGCGGCAACATCCACCGCCAATCACGATCAACGGGAGGGGTTTGAAAGAGGTTACTTCTTTCACTTATCTAGGGAGCATTGTCTCAACTACAGGAGGAACGGACGAGGATGTCAAATCGTGAATCGGGAAGGCGAGAAACACATTCATCAACCTGAAACCAATCTGGAAATCTTCGTCACTCAACATCAACAACAAAATTCGGATTTTCAATACAAACGTCAGTCAAGTCAGTCAGTTCTTCTATACGGATGGATCAGAAACTTAGCGGCGGGTCACAAAGAATATTTCCAACAGCCTGTTGCACACCTTTATCAACAACTGTCTTCGCTCCATACTGAAGATTAGATGGCCGGAAAGAATCGCCAACAAGAAACTATGGGAACAAACAAAACAAGAAGCAATCGCCCAAAAAATATGCAGGAGACAGTGGAGATGGATTTGACACTCGTTGAGGAGGCCGTTGGGTGACATCGCGCGTCAGACCAACGCTCGAGTGGAACCCGAAAGGGAAGCGGTGAGTGGGACGTCAGTGCAAGGGTGACGTGGAGGAGATTGTGTGAAGAAGAGTTGAAACAGTATGGATTAACATGGACACAGGTGAAAAGTACAGCAGAAGACGGAAGCAAGTGGAGACGTGCAGTTGAAGCCCTATGTTCCACTAGGAACCCAAGGGAACAATAATAATAATGTACTTAGAAAAAATGGTAATCCAGATAAACTCATTGATAAAAATATGAATTCAGCACCTAGGATGGTCAGTATGGCAACAGTTCCCAAAAAACCACTGTTCATAAAACTGCAGTCCCTCGGTGACAACATTAGCAAAATAATAACACAGCGCCTGAAGAATGCAGTTAAGAGAGCTTATTATGCAGCAGAGGTATGTTGTCTATTCACAACCACCCCTATTTTACGTTCGAGAAATAAGGATAAACTACCTAAATGTGCCTTTTCTATGTGTATCTACCAATTTGACTGCAGCTGCGGAGCCAGCTACATTGGGCGTACAATTAAGCAGGTTCCTCATCGTATTTCCGAACATCATCCAACATGGTTAAGCAGCAAGGGACAAACCAGATCTATTCGTAGCTCTATTTTAGCACACCTTGTAGATACTGAGCATAAGGTTGACGTTAATACTGCATTTAAAATTATCTATCGCATTCCTACTAATCTTAATTTTGCTCTACGAGTTCGTCTTCTACATACATCTGGAGCAATAGGAATCCACCTGAAGAAGCCAAACCTGTGTGTGTTCAGACGGAATTTGTACAGCCACTTTCCTTGCCTTGGCCATCGTTACATGAATGTATAAACCGGACTACTTTGGACCCCTCCCCCTAAACATTTAAAAATTATAAAAATTATAATTGTCTAAATTATTTTATTTTTTTTTGACCACTTCATCTTTAATGACGTGTTATCCTTGTAAAATTAGTTTATTCTAACCATTTCTACCTTTTAAATGTGTGTATTGATTTTCTTCGTTAATTATCAACCCATTGACATTTTGACACTGTTTAATTATTGTTAACAAACATATCAGTGCCACTTGATTGGTAAACTGTTGTGTATTGTAATAAAAAATGTTCTTTGTGTATATTAGAGTAGAGCCAGAGTGAGATGAGGATCTAATTGAAAAGTAAATATTTCTTCGCTCAGCTCAATCTTTCTGTTTTCTAAATGTCTAAATGGGGATTTTTTCTATATTGAATAGTCAGTCAGTCTGTCCTAACAAAGACCAACTCGAAAGGCAGAATTAAGCTTAGTCGGAGTGCAGTAGACAGATGACTACTTTAAATGCATTGTTAACATCAAATTTAAGTTAATTTAATTTTAGATTTTCCCGACGATTGATTGGACCGAAGTGCTCGGTCTCAGGTTGTCATGTCTGTCGGCTTCTTGTGCAGGGAATGCAGGTACATCCAGTGACGAGTCCCAGATAGGACGAAATGCGCGTTATCCTGGATTCCACTGCTAGTCACCATCCACCAATTAAATTCAAATTTAAGTTTCTAAAAGGTGAGTTAGTGGAGAGTTATGCAGAGAACTTATTTGTACCATGCTTAGCTACACACTATACTGAATAATTTTTAGAAATCCAATGGTAAACATGCTCATTTGTAGGCTCAGTGTAGCTGACTCCGCAAGAACAATCAAACTGGTCGATATTATTGAAAAAAAACATCTTCGTTGTCAATAACGCTTACCCTTTAAATGTAATTATTAGAACAAGACATATAATGAGCGAACAATGCTGTTGTTTTCAATTAGATCTTCTTTAGGCTTCACTCTAATTTAACATAGATTTATCGATAAAATTTTTAACCAATGACGGTGAGTTTGTGGATCAAATAATATTGATAATGATAATAATAATAAAAATAATGTGGTAAATGTTTTGAACGGCATTAATAACGATGATTATTATGATAACAAATAATGCACATGGCGATAAGGGTAACGAAGGCAGTAATATGTGTATATGTAGGAAATTCAATAAATTAGTTAGCTCAATTCTTAAAAGTTACGTAATACCAAAGGTGAAGCGGACAGATAATCAGAGTTTAAATAAATATCATAAAAGTACGAAGGAGATGGAAATTAAGAAAGGGTGGGAGAGTTTTGATTAGAATTTACCTAGGCAAGCAAAGGAGAGACAAAGGTAGAACAAACTTCTTTTGTTGTGTGCAAAGACTAGGATTGTTCTCCCGAATTAATTCCCATAGCTTCGGCTATGTGCTATAAAAGGCGGGTTCGAATTCCGTTCGAAAGGCTTGATGGAATGCGATAGATAACTTTGAAGGTACTACCTCTGTCCACCTGGTGATCGCTATCACTCAAATAAGCCAAAATAGAACTTCTTGTAGATTTTATTTGACCTTTTCCAAACCATGAAGGAAGATGCTCATTAATGCGTTTGTTAAGCTGTCCAGTTGTTCGCCCTATATAGCTCTCTCCACAGGAGCAACTAAATTTGTAGATACACATTGATGTGGCACAGCTAGACAGCCTGTCTTTCACTTGAGCAATCATAATTGGTCGGCTGGAAAATGGCAAACAAAGGGTGGCGGCAGTATAAGTCCGTTTTATCGCTCTCGATAATCTCAGATGTAAGACTTCGCTAGCCACGTCCCCATTAAATTACAATTTCATGAACAGTTGTTCCTTTTCAGCTGTTCTCAGTTTCTCTTTATAATGCCTGGTGTTCATGTGTCTCCTTACAAGTCTCTTAAGATAAGCCATTTGGATGTATCTCAACTCATTTTCTAGGGAGTCATCTGTACAGATCCTTCTTGCTCTATTCGTGAGGCATCTGACCAAAGTGATTTTGTATCGGATTGGTACAAAACTGAAGAAATGGTTACATTGTCCCACAGATGTAGGTTTTATATAGACATTTCTCTTTCTTGAGTGAACCATTCTGTCTTCTGTTCAACTGAACATCAAGGAAGTGTGGTCTACCATCATGTTCTTCTTCACAAGTGAAAATGAGCGATGGATGTGCATCATTGAATTTTATCAACATTTCATTCTTGTCAGGTTTCTCATCAAGAATAATAAACTTATCGTCAACTTAACGAAAATAAGAGTCCTTTTTATCTACTACTTGTTTCAATGGACCATTTTTCAGCCTATAATATTATGTATATACTGTAACTGTAGAACCAGATGAGGAAGTTATGCAAGGGCAGTATTCTTGATCCAGTCTTTCAACCTTGTTATTATCTAAGTGGGGAAAATGACAGAAGATTAGATGTGGGGCAAACAGAGTCATCCCGTAAAGGTGACATCTCCGCTATTGAAACTCAATAGGAACGCGACGAAAAAGAAAATATATATATATATATGCGAACTTACCTAATAGTAGAGGCCACAGCAGCTCGTCCATCTCGTGTCATATGAATAAATTTCGATCTTGGAAATATTTCATATAAATATTTTAGATAATAAAATGAAAATGGTTGTTTATGACACAGACGTTCAGCGGATTCACCCATGTTGATGATGATTTCACTGATGAACGCTGCAATAGCACGATTAAAAACATGCGTATAGATACCAGCCGCTTCCAACTGATACATATTGTATTCAGATAACATTTTCAAGCGTAACAAAGAGGTTGTCACCACTGGTTCAGGACCACATCTTACAGAGGGATGGACATCGAGGAGAATGCGCATTAAACCGGTACCTTTTAGGGGAAGGGGAATTTAAAACGGAGAAAAATGATTTGATAATTAAGATCAGAAATGGAATTATTTGAAAGAATATAGAGAAAATTTGTTGCTCAGGTGAATGATTCCTAGATGGTTGCGTCGGTGGCACAGTGGTAAAGTGCTCTCCAACCACGCCTCATGTGGTTCGGTGTTCGATCCCCGGCCACCGACGCACTCCTTTACCTCCCTAAGCCAGTAATAAGACCGGTAAAGAGGCAAGGTTATGAGGCATGAGGCTAGCAACCTCATCCCGTAAAAATAAATACCACTGCTACTGAAACTTCAAGCTTCTAACTTGAAGCTCCCTATGTTCCACTGGGACCTGACTCAACCGACGACAATGACCGGTACCAGTCGCGCAAAATATTTATCATGAGTTCATAGAAGTTGGAATTCATGAGCTGTTGAGTCAGGTCCCAGTGGATGGTTGGTCTACTTGCTTATCTTGTACCTGGAGGGACCTGCCTTCAAAATCCGATGGGTGCATACAGATGAAAAGCCCAAACTACGGCGAAACAGTTGTCCAGTACTCCATGCTTGTTTCCCATTGGTTCTCTAATTGATGTCAGATTGTGATCAATCCTGTGCCCGATCAAATCCTTATAAAGCAACGCTTGATAATATCTAGGGAATATTTCTGAAATAACGACAAGAATGTCAAGACCATTCACAGTAGATATTGCACAATCACTTCATTCAGTATTATGGAGACGAAAAGATCGAACAGTAAAAGGATACAAAATCAACACCATCTATTATATAAATTGCATGAACTACGATACGTACTGTACTGGCAAAAGCAGGTGTCCCCTTCAACTCTGAGTCTCAGAATATAAACTACCTATCAAAAGACACGATAAGTGTTCTCTCATATATCAATGTATATATAGAACTGTGGATACCGACTAGACTGAGAAAATGTGGAACTTTCAAACAGCGAAAACACCGAAACCGAAGTCACAGAATTTCTAGAAGCATGATACTTGCACGAATCGGTGATTAACAGACACATTTACTTAGCATAGATCAAATTTGTCAACAAATAAAGAATACGTCACATGACAAAGAGATTCAAATTCCAAGTGAATAAAAGCGATCAATACTGATGTGAATTAGCAGCTAGTTGTAACAAAATGTGTCGGTGGATAGAATTATATCTTTCACAGAGAATTCAAAAGTGTTCAATTCATATTAAACTTTTGCACTGAAGATGTTGTCTAGAAGGTAGGAGAATGAAAGTTTGGCGGTTGGATCAGCTAGCTCAGGGAAGGCAATTACATCAAGATGGAGTTATTTCCTGAGAGGAAGACGTTTTCATGTTCACCTAGTTGTCATTAGTCAGTGTAACTTCACACCAGAGTTAATTATGTATGACTAGTATCTGGAATACCTATTCTACTGTTTAGCGACTTACTTTTGGTAGGCCTACTCATATAGTATTATTTCTTTATTGATGATATTTTGAGAACCATTTGTTGCTCATAATCATCGTATCAGGGTACATGATAATAAGAAGCAACTCAAAATTGAAATCAACTTTTGCAGTCATTTACTACTGAAGTAGGAAATTTTCTGCTTCAAATTTAGATTGATTTTGATGTCAGAGAGTTGGAGGCTGGACCTAGGTTTCACCCTTGTTGGCTCTCATCAGTAAGTTGTACTTGCTATCTCGAAGCAAGTGATATTAATATATTATTATTGTTTCCTTTAGTTCCTAGAGGAGCATAAGGCCTCAGCTGCACGTCTCCATTGTGTTCAGTTCTCCGGCAACGTTTTCATCACCTGGCTTCACATCTGCCCACATGCTTTCATTTCCTCTTCACATCACCTCGCACTGACGACCAACTCGCCGTTTCTCATTCCTGTTCCACTCGAGGGCCTGTCTTGTGATGTCACTTGTTTTTTTTCTCAGAGTGGCCAGCCAATCCACCTCCATTTCTTCCTGCTTATTTGTTGCACTATCAGTTCCTGCTGTGTTGGTTCGTTCATTGCCAGAGATCCCTCCCTGTTGCTGATGTTTTCTGGCCGGCCAAGTCTCTTATCCGTATAGTAGGTAGCACTGATTTCAAATTGGAGTTGAAAATCCGGATATTATTTTCCATGCTGAATGCTGCTGATCTCCTCCACACAGACGTGAGAGTAATGAAAGCTTGTATTGCTTTCCTGATTCTTGCTGCTTTGATATCCTCATCAGTTCTGTTCGCCTGTAGTTGGAACGATGCTTCCCAGATAGGTAGGAAGGTAAAGGAGGTTGCTTTTTTCAGACTTTTCCCATTTATGCTGACTGTTGTCGGTTGTTGTTGCTGCTGCTGTTGGTGTTGACCAGGAATCTTCATTACCTCTGTTTTCTGTGTATTCACCTGAAGGAAGTCCTATCTTTGATGCTTCTTACTCTGTCAACTTGTTGCTTTTCACTTTCATATCTTCCACTCTGTAGGAAATCAGATATATATCATAGGCAAAATCCAAATCCTCCAAGTGTTTTTTGGGTGGGTGCATTTTATGCCTGCTTCCTCGGTGTCCACTGTCTGTCTCATTATTTTTTAAATTTTTGATTGTAATAATAATAGTAAAAATCTACTTTATTCCAAAAACAGTACTTATAATACACAATGGAATTCCACACCGTATTTTTGGTACAGGTACGGAATTTTCAGTATATGATATAGGCAGCCCAAATTTTGCAGGCCGACCATAGATATCAGGTGTGCGTCTGCAGGGAAACGAACCATGGAGAGTCATAACCACTGTGCCACCGATTCACAGTCTACCGCAGTCAGAAAAATCCCTGGAGATAGTGGGCAGCCAGCCTTGTCTTACTCTGGTCTTCACTTCGAAGTATTCCGTGAGTTTCCCGCTGTGATATCCTCTGAGAAAGTTTGAATTTAAAGGTAACTAAGCTGCTGACGTTCTTTAAAGAAGTTAGTTCTCACAGTCACCGAAAAGGACATTTTCTGTAGCATCGTTGAGAATAGCACTTTCTAGCTAACAGTTACCGTTCAATAAACTGAAAGACAAGTTCCAGCGGTTGGCCAGGTTTATGTGTTCTCCTATAAAGTTAGGTATCTCGGTCGTTCGACGCGAGTTTTATCCAAGCGGGGTGGAGTGGGGTGTGCAAGAACACTATCCTGCATGGTTACGAAGAGGTGGAAGTGGGACTATAAGAAGTGTACTAATTGATCACCTTATTTCTACAACCTCATCCTTTACAGTCATCCATAAAGCGAAAAATGATCTACCCAAACCACTGCGTGTCTAACTTATCTATGCTGCTGAAGCTTTGACCATCGAAATTTATAGCCTAGACCTTTGTATACAGGAAAAGTTTGTTCATTTATTCCTACACAAGACAACTGAGTAATACCCATGGTGATTTTAGTGTAATGATGAACAATTTTGGTAGTTAAGTCTTGGAACCTTTGACGGCCGAAAACCAAACTAGAAATACAGACACCTTTGGTTGGAACTCAGAGTTGAGCATAACTTTCAGTCACTCCCGCTTACATAGATAATAGTTTTACAAGTAAAACCTTTAAGGTATAAAAGCTTAGTGAATCAGAAGAACTTAACTTAGAAACAAACATATAAGGGATAGAGTGGGGTATATGTATACAAGATAAAAGTTTAAACATAAACAGGTATGACGTAATATCGTATTCGGCAGATATTTAGATTCTATGGCAGTTCGCGGTTGACATGGATGTGAGTATGAAAAGGGAAATTTATCAGCAGTTGTAGAACCAGCTGAGAAATGATGGTAAAGAACCAAAGGGAGTGAAAACGTCCCTCTAATGTTCTTTGTTCCAATTGGGTCTCAAGGAAAGAATATTAGTTATAATATTACAGCAGGCGGGGGGAAGTGATAATCGTACCTGAAAAAGTTTTTTCTTCAAGTGTTAATTCGTAAGAATTTGATGTGTCTCAAGTTTGACCGTAGATTAATACAGTAAAGATGAAGTTGCTTGGAGTTCCGGTGAGAAGTCATGACCAGTGGTGGAGTCAAATACTCACTGATGACACTGGCTGGTGCCAGTCACGCTAAAAAAACCATGAATTGGTAGAATTCATGAACCAGTGATTTGGGTCCCAGTGGCTGAGTGGTCTACGAGCTCACCGTGTGACTAGAATGTCCTGGGTTTGAACTCTGGCAGTGGGTGCTCACTGTCGATGAGTGCCGAACAGGTATGAAATGGTTGTCCAGTACATCCGGGTGGTTTTCAGTGGTTCTCCGACTGATATCAGTCTGTGGGCGAGATTGAAGAGGTTGTTGAAAAGAGTATTCTTTGTTCACTAATCAATGTTTCTCAGTCATGTAAGATTCTTTAGAATTTTTCTCATACCCATGCGCTTCCTGTGTTACGTAGTGCTTTAAGCTTGAGGAGTGACATTTTCTGTGGTTGTAGTGTGTTTTTTACGGAGTAGATTTGCAAGCCTCACTTCCGATCCTCTCTGTTATCCCGAAAATACTATCCGCTAGGCGAGATTTATGAATGCGCGCTGGCTGGAAATCAAATCGGGACCATGTGTGGCTTGCCTGCCTGAGGATTCTGATATCGAACCACCTACGCACAAAGTATTAGCCAATAGGTCACGATTATTCTTATTGTTTCCATTAGTTCCTAGAGAAACATAGGGCTTCAGTCGCACGTCTCCATTGCGTTCGGTTCTCTGTCAAAGTTTTCACCTACCTGCACATCCGCCCACATGCTTTCATCTCCTCTTCGCGCGACCTCCTCCTCCATGTCACCCCACCCTCGCGCTGACGACCAGCTGACTCGCCGCTTCCTATTTGGGTTCTAGTCGAGCGATGGCCTGGCGTGTGGTGGGTGGCACTTGATGATGGTTTGTTTTTTCAAAGTATGGACAGCCAGTCCACTTGAATTTCTTCCTGCATATTTGTTGCGCAATTGGTTCCTGCTGGTTGGATTCACTTCCAGAGATCCCTCCCTGTTGCTCATCTTTTCTGGCTGGCCAT